GTATTTCATTTTCTAAGACAAATCCTCCAATGAACCTATGTCTAAGATTAACAAGCTTTTAAAAACACGAGTGATATAGAATACCATCCCTATAAAACAAAGCATTTTCTACCCAATTCACTTGGAAATCAACAAAGATATGCAAAAATGATTTTTCAATGTGCTAAACTAGGGTTACAAGAACATAAGTAAAATACTGATTATACACAGGAGCACATAGATACAAGGTTAGACCCCAGTTTCCAGAAAGACATTACATTTCCTTGAAAAAAATAGCAAAAGGGTGATTTTTCTTTTTCCCTGTGGTGTTCCTATATGGCAACCCCAAATGTCTCATTATTATTTTAATGCATTTTAAAATGAATCCTGTGGATCAAAATCTACACTCCTGGGTTCTATGGAGATGCCTTCATTTCCGTGGTAAGCAAGCAGATAGGGGCTGGAGGGTCTCCCCCCCGCAACCCTCTTCAATTCCCAAAGCACTAATTTTATCTTTTAAAAAAGTGTGTGTGTGTGTTTGTGTGAAATATGTATTGGGTAACATGTAAACAGACTTATTGTGAGAAGAAAAGTGAGAGGAGTTACTGCCAGAAGAAGGTTGAAAAATACCATTCCAGTCTAGCACTATTAGAAGTTAGTTCCAAGTATTACCTGTATTTTTAGTCCCTTTTGTAATTATAAAGATATTGTGTCAGGCTTTTCCTAGTGTCCAGGTCATCTTGGACTGTTCCCAGTTCCACTGCCTTCTCACTTGACCTTCAGTCCTGCATTTCCGACAGCCTATTGGATATGGTCCCTTCATCTGCTCACATTCAAGTCATCAACTCATCCATAAATCATCCACCTCTTGCATTTTCTCAGTCCTTGCCAGTGACCCCATCATTCTCTCAGGTGCACAGCTTCAAACTTGTGGAGTAAATTTTTTTTACTTTTCCTTCCTAGCTAACCAATCACCTGTTCAGCTTGATTTCTTTACTCCTATACGTATATATTGCTCACTCACATCTTTTTTTGGTTTTCCTAGTGCCCCCATGCCAGTCCTATCAGAGCATTCGATGCCTAGGATAGCTTCCTTAGTAGCCTCATGGCTCCATTCATTTCTGATCTTACTCATTATTCCAGATTAATTCTACCGAAATGCTCCCTTTCATATTGTTACTTTCCTATACACAACTGTAGATGGTTTCCACTTGGTTTTGCAACCAAGTCTAAACTATTCTGCTTTGCTTTCAAGGCTCTTCAAAATCATCTGATTCCACTCTCCTTTCTAGTTAGATCAGTCCCTTTCCTGTCACATAAAAATAGTGCAATTCCAGTGTCTGTATCTTCATATGAACATGTCGAGTGGACCTGGCCTAAAACAAACTATCTCTCTGTCTCCTTCTTCAGTCTTTCCCCTCATCTTTTCTCACCTATTACCCCAAGTTCCTCACATAGCCAAGTACTTGTAATTCCCTGAAAACAACTGTCTCTGGGCCTTTGCACTTGCTTTCCTCTTCCACCCTTGGTCTCTTCGAACTAAAGCTGCACCTCCTGTGTTAACTCTTCTTTATCCTGCACTCCGGGCAAAGTAATCACATCTTACTTTGAGTTGCCATTGCATCCTATACTTACTTCTATTATAGCCTTTATTGTACAATATTGTAATGTTTTGATTACATTTGTCTGATTGCTCTTTTAAATTTGAGCTACCCTCTCAGAATAGTTTTAGGCTTGGTTTCAAAATGAGGTCCCTGACCTCCAATAACACACAGTTGTTTTGTGCTCCTGGTGAGTCACTTTAGTAAGACTATACGTATTTGCTGAATAAATGAATAAGTAAATTTCTACCTAAATCTTCCTCGTTCTTCAAGACTTAACTAAAACCCAACTACGTCTCTGAAGCCTTCTTTGACTTCTTTAGTCCTCCACCCCTTCTCTGATAGTTTTTATGGTTGCGACTATAAAATTTAGGATGATTTCTTTAATTGGATAGCAAGTTCCTTGAGGGTAAGGGACATATATCTATACTGTCTCTGTCATTGCACTGGATCACAGTGCTGAGCGCATAGTAAAATCTAAATAAACATTTACTTAGAGTTATGTAAATTCTATTCTCAGGAAAATAATGACAGCTAATAGTCTATTTGGAAAACTCTAAATTTTTTCTAAATATAATTGCAGTCATTAAATTAGATACTAATTCATTTAGAAAATATTTAGTGAATACCAACTAACTTCCTGGCACCAAACCAGTGGTTGAGATTTAGGTATGAATTCTAACAGTAAATAAATTCTTCCCAGGTAAAGTTAGTATTGCTTCATTGAAGCTGTGTACATTTTTTCCACTTTTAAACTTGTAAATTTATAATTGTTTTTTTTCTCTCCCTAGGATATTTTTTTTAATGATTTTTAGAGAGAGAGAAAAAAGTGTATGTAGGGGGGAAGCAGAATGTGTGTGTGTGTGTGTGTGTGAGAGAGAGAGAGAGAGAGAGAGAGAGAGGAGAGAGAGAGAGAGAGAGAGGCACTGATGTGAGAGAGAAATATCACATTGATTGGTTGCCTCCCATATGCTCCCCAACCAGGTTTCAAACCCATGACCTGGGTATGTGCCCTGACCAGGAATGGAATCCACAACCTTTTTGGTGAATGGGATGATGCTCCAACCAACTGAGCCACCTGGCCGAGGCTAAGTAGTTTTTTAGTGAACACCAGATTATATTGATTGGGGGGGGGGGGGCGGGGGGATAGGATCTTATAGCTCTTCCTGGCTGATTGTTCTCATAGGAGCATGAATTCTTTTTTGTTGTTGTTTTTTTGAGATTGTCATAGTCAAGAAATGGGGAGAATGAATTTGGAATGATCTGGTCTAATTTTTTTTTTTTTGTCCAATCTATGTCCAGAAATTACTGGGTTGGATAATCTAAGTAAATTGTGTGTGTACCAAAACTTGAGTGCTCACTAGCTTACTTAGATTCACCAGATGTCACTGATTGGTATCCACCAAGAGTCTGTGATGACACCTCACCAGAGTCCCAGGAGTATCAGCAGGCACATTCAGGGTAGAAGGGCAGACACTGTCCTGTGTGGTTCAGTTTCAACCATTTGCCACATCTTAAGCCAACTGTCTCACTCCTGATTCAAACCTAAGTTGAGTTTCTTGTCTTCCTCTTTCTTTATGCATTAGTTTCCTCAACATTTCTTAGTAAATACTATAGGCCAGAAGTTGTGCTTGGTGCTCAAGATACATAGGTAAAACAACTAAATCCCTGCCCTCAAGGAGGTCATTTAGATAATTGTATAGAAATTACATTCCATTGTAGGAGTAATATTCAAATATTACCTTACATTGCCTTTGAAAAGCAAAATTCTATATATGAATATGTCTTGTCTTTGGACTAGGATTCTTTGGATCAATAGACATGTATAAGTAAAAATCATTATTAATATTAATGCTATTTCTGTCCTATCATATGAATATTCTCTAAGAAAAAGATGAGGAACTGCTTACATACCTAGAATAAGTGTTAAATAGTAATGAGGTCATGTTCTAGTAGTAATTAGTTATTAGGGAAGCAAAGTAACTCTTACAGGACTCTAAATACCGGTAATTCTCTAAAAAGTAATACACTTCAAGCACATTATTCACATAGTATTATAGGGTTACAGCTAGCAAATGTCACCCTGGGGCTACAGCTGTATCCACATTTTGTGGGGCCTGAAGCTCATAAATGTGGAAGGTCTGCATAAAAAAAATAAAATAAAATTAGACCCCAAAGTTAGGGATAGTTTAAGCAAATGTGGAGCCTTGAGGCTTAGGCTTCATCTGCTTCACAGAAAAGCCGAGTGGGAGGCACATAACAATGGACTCACCTGTCATACTAGGGACAAACTTGGACATTCGGAAGAATAGTATTCATTAAGCTGATATCAAAAAGTTTATAATAAATACATTACCTGTAAAATGAATCTGTAAATTGACCTTAGCAACATCCTTATTTTATCTTTATTCTATCAGCTTTTATTCGATTATTTGGCTTTCTTTAAAATTGAAAAAAAAAATCACAGGTATTCATTGAGTATAGATCATAAATACTTTATTTTTAAAGCTTTAGCCTGTAGACCTGTGCTGTCCGATACCACAGTCATTAGCCACATGTGATACTGAGCACTTGAAATGTCACCAGCACAACTGAGGGACTGAACTTTAAATTATATTTAATTTTAATTAAAAAAACTGATATCAACTCAGTTTTACAAAATTGAATATTACAAAAAATTTAAGTAGGTTTAGAATCACTTGTGCATGTCAATCTACTTTTTAAACTACAGGTTTTATAAAATCTAAATGTAAATTAATTATTTCCTGGGAAAATGTAGTAGCCAAATTGAGATGTGCTGTAATTGTCGAATTCACACTGGATTTTCAAGGCCTAGTATGACAAAAAGGATGTAGAATATCATATAAATAATGTTTATATTGATAACATGTGGAAATGATGATGTTTTCACTTATTGGTTAAATAATGTACATTTAAAAAGTTAATTTTTCGCCGAAACCGGTTTGGCTCAGTGGATAGAGCGTCAGCCTGCGGACTGAAAGGTCCCAGGTTCGATTCCGGTCAAGGGCATGTACCAGGGTTGCGGGCACATCCCCAGTAGGAGATGTGCAGGAGGCAGCTGATCGATGTTTCTCTCTCATCGATGTTTCTGACTCTCCATCTCTCTCCCTTCCTCTCTGTAAAAAATCAATAAAAATATATTTAAAAAAATAAATAAATAAATAAATATAAATAAAAAGTTAATTTTTCTCAGTCTTTACTTTTTAAAAATGTGGCTACTAGAAAAATTTTAATTACATATATGGCTAACATTATATTCCTATTGGACAGTGCTGCTTTAGACTCTGTTTTTCTTAAAGGCAGTATATAATTTTTGAAACCACTTACTTAAAAGATAAACTTAGGAGAATCATGGTAGATGGAAAGCAATTACTAAGCATTACTCATGGGGCATTTTACCTTACTTGAGGTGGTGGAATTCCTACCACTATGCAATCCAACTGCACTCTGGTTCCTTCTGGAACTTCTCTGCTCCATAACTTTTGAGTGAATCGGGGAGGTTGCCCCAGAGGTTCTTCATAGTACAAGGATGACGGTGAAGACCCTGGGGTGGTGTCTCCACCAGCTGCCTCACTGGCAACCTGCTCAGCCTCACGCCGCTTGGCTTCCTGCTGTTCAAGGGCATGATTCACTTCGTTATCTCTAGTATCTGTAGGGATGGGAATGGGAACAGATGATCTTTCTCTTTTTTCTGATAGAGCTGAGAAACTGGAGCTATTTTCCTGCATAACTTTGTTTTGAGATTCCAATTTGCTCTTGTGGTTTTTGCAGGCCCGGGGTCTAATCCTTTTGGAGCTATGGGCTTTGAAAAGGGAGGACAGCTCTTCAATAAAATCAGCAGCCTTATTTAAGAATAGTTTTTTGGACTGAGCCTCAGAACTATACTGTGGCCTCGTTGCCTCCTGAGGGCTCTCGATAGAGCTGGTAGGACTTGGAGAGTTATCCTGGCGGAAGTTAGGGTCAAAACTTGATTTCGATGGGTGTTTCATCTGATCAGAAGAAAGACGTTTTCTAGCTTGAGCTTCATCTGCTTTCTCCAAAGGGTCATGATTGATTGCCAATCTTGCCAGATTGACACTTTCATCTAATTCTTCTTGGCTCAGAAAAGCTGAAAGATCTGGAAGGTCATCTTGGCCTCCTCCTCCTTCTGCAGCTCCAGAAGGACTGCCAAAATGGAAAGGGTTGGAAGAAGGCTCTGCTCGGCTCCTCTCATTGTTTCCCCGATGTCTGGTTTCTGCTAAATAGCTTTCTCGGAGGAGCTGAGAAATGGAAGTAGAAGCTTCTATGCTGTCGTCTTGCATGCTGTGAGAAAATAATAAGTTTGGATCATTTCCAGAGAACAATAAGTCAATGTTTACTAAAGCATGATGGATTCCTAAGAACTTAAAGCTTGAAATAAACAATTGCCTAATTTTGATACTTTTACAAAATTTACTATGAAGACTTAAAGATTATTCTCAAATTGTAAAATGAAGAGAAACTGAATGAGATTTTACTGAAATTGAAAATAAAAACATAGGCATTACCACTTTATTAAATTCTTTAAATGTAAGTTCAACTGTGAAAGCTATGATATAGCTATAGTAACAGTAAATAAAATTTCTAAATATAATTTTGATAATATCTGTTAAGGGCTTTTACTTATAAAGCACTTTCGTACACAGAGATTTGCTCTCCATCCTCTCCTTTTACCTTGAATGTAATAAAATAATAAAAATTAAAAGATATTGACAACATAATCTCAATTGGTTAGTGAAATTATAAACTTGACCTAGTTAATGAAAATAAATAATGCTTTTGTTTTAAGAAAACTAGAAACAGTTGTTTAAATTTGCTGTTGTTTATAGGTTTAATCTGCTCTTGAAAACTATAATGATTTAGCCTTTTCAAATAAGGTATAACTAATTTAATTTCTATAAAGATATGAGTTAAACCCTATGTTTTAAAATATCTCTTAAATTAACATTGGTGAAGAAGGAAGATGGGAGACAGGAAAGTGGGGGGCAAGACAGGACACTCTTCACTTTATACCCTTTCCTGACTTTTCAATTTTAATTATATGAACACATTACCGATTCAAAAAATAAATATCTTAAAGCTTAAGAAAATAGTACAGTAACCTTAGTTCTAAGTCCCCTGGACTAGAGGGTTTGGTAATGCAAACCAATGTTATATTATTAATATTATATCTATTTATTCATTCACACACTTACTAGAGGGATGGCAAACTTATGACCCACAGGCTGTTACTCTCTCTCCCCTCCTTATAAAAGATGTAGCTAACTGATTACAGTACTTTTTCCATTGACCTTGACTTTCTTAACACTCCACTCCAACTGCTACCACCAATCAATCAGAGATGGTAATGGAGATGAAAACTATTTACCATTCTGCCCTTGCCCGGTTTGGCTCAGTGTATAGAGAGTGTTGGCCTGCGGACTGAAGGGTCCCGGGTTCTATTTCAGTCAAGGGCACATGCCCAGATTGCAGGCTAGATCCCTAATAGGGGGAGTGCAGGAGGCAGCCAATCAATGATTCTGATCATTGATGTTTCTATCTCTCTCTCCCTCTCCCTTCCTCTCTGAAATTAATAAAAAAAAAAATTTTTTTTTAAAGCTATTTACCATTCATGGCTACTAACTGCTGGGCCTTGTGCTGGGAAAATGGAGAGGAAACTAATCTCCTAAATCTTTTCTGGTTTTTATGACAAAACTTATTTCAGTTCACTCCTTATATGATAGTCTCACTTGAATCACAAATAAAACGTCCTAAAGTTCTCAAACTTTTAGAATGTTATTCAAAACTAACCTCTAAATTGGCAAAGTGGGCAATGACCTTGAGAGGGCAATTAGAGATGGCTAAAAGGATTACCTACAGCAAATATTTTTCCACATGCTTGCTGCAGCCTGAGATTTCTACTACTGGATCCATTTATTTGGGTGAGAAGTCTATTGTGTCTTAATAAAAGATTAATTGACAATGCAAAGATATTGGATGGGTACAAAGATTTATCTACAAAAATGTTCATCATAGTATAGATGGTATTAAAAAATTGGGATCATGTCCAATAACAAATTAGTTAATTAAATTATGATATCAGATAGAACTATATGGCTATGTTAAAGTTTGTACAATTGTGAATGACATACAAAATAGTACATGAAAGTATAATTGACGTCCCAATTGAAAATTTGTCTCATTTGTCCTAACCAGTTTAGCTCAGTGGAGAGAGTGTCAGCCTGCGGTCTAAAGGGTCCCAGGTTCGATTCCAGTCAAGGGCATGTACCTTGGTTGTGGGCACATCCCCAGTAGGGGGTGTGCAGGAGGCAGCGGATCCATGTTTCCCTCTCATTGATGTTTCTAACTCTCTATCCCTCTCCCTTCCTCTCTGTAAAAAATCAATAATATATATTTTTTTAAAAAAAGAAAATTTGTCTCATTTGTGCATTAACTATGCAGAAGAACAGTTAAAGATATATGAAATCAGGTACAAAATGCTATTTGAAAATGCAATTAATGTACTAATTGAAAATCCTTCTCATTTGTTAATCAATCAATTCCTTAGCCTAGTTTGAGTTTCTGTATATATTTAGATGTGAGGAAGAAAACTGAGTGCTTTATGAATGAGGATGGCCGTCTCCCTATTTGTTTGACATTACTCATACTGTGTTTTAATGTGCCTTTGTCTCTAACTATTTAATATGGCTTTTATCTTGAGCAATACGGAATGAGCATTGGCCTTAGAATCAGATCTGTTTTCAAATTATGGCTTCATTTCTCAGCAGTTATATAACTTTGAGAAATTTACTTAACTTCTCTAAACTGGAATTCTCATCTGTAAAACATGGATAATATCTACTTCCCAGGGAAGTAAGGATTAATAACATAATGAATGCAAAGCCCTTAAAACAGGACCCATTATAATGGGCACTCAAACAATATTAGTAAAAATTAATACTTAGGTAAAGGAGATGTTAATGTTGAAGAACTTTTAAAAAGCTTATATTGACTCAGCCAGTGTGGCTCAGTGGTTGGCCTGTGAACCAGGAGGTCATAGTTCGATTCCCTGCCCAGGTTGTGGGATCAATCCTCAGTGTAGGGTGTGCAGGAGACAGCCAATCAAGGATTCTCTCTCATTATTGATGTTTCTCTCTCTCTCCCTCTCTGAAATCAATAAAAATATATTTTAAAAAATAAAAAGCTTATTTTAGGGTGGAAATTGAAAAGAAAATACTCATATAAGAATCACTGCTCTCTGCAACTATTTTTTTGTTTTTAAAGAGGCTAATTAATGTGTAACTGTGTGTCTGTTCTGATGCTTATGGTCATGAGAAATTATTATGATAATGAAACTTCAGGTATTCAAAATAAAGAATTTCTTTAATATTTTAATGTAGTATTTATTACCTAACACCTGGAGTTAGATAGATCTGGTTCAAATCCAAGTTCTGACACTTCTTAGTTGTATAAATTCAAGAAAAGTTAACTTCTGTAAGCTTCAGTTTACTCATTTATTAAACAGGTATAATAACAGTAGCCATCTCATAGGTTGAAGTAATGATTAAATGTGTTTGGCATTTTGTAAATGTTCAATAAATGGTAGTTACTATTATAATTATTATTATTATCATTTAACAGCTTTAGCCACATACCATGATAAGAAATGGAAGTAGGCCCTAGCCGGTTTGGCTCAGTGGATAGAGCATCCGCCTGCGGACTGAAGGGTCCCAGGGTTGGATTCTGGTCAAGGGAACATGCTTGGATTGTGGGTTTAATCCTTAATAGGGGGCATGCAAGAGGCAGCCGATCAATGATTCTCTCTCACCAATGATGCTCCTATCTATCTGTCTCCCTCTCCTTTCCTCTCTGAAAGCAATAAAAATATTTTAAAAAAGAAAAAAAAATGGAAGTAGAACTAGTGAAGTGACTTGATCTAAGGACAAACTTTAAAGAGAAATTTAACTTTTGATTTGCAGTTAATTGAGCATTGTCTATATTCCATTGAAATACATGTAGTTTCATTAACAAACTGAGCTGCTTTCAGATCTTTGTACATACTGTCTTTGTTTGAGCTGCTCCCTGTCCCCACCTCCCTTTACTACTTTACTGGGCCAAGTCCTACATGGCCTTCAGTTCTTAGCTGAGACATCCCTTAGGGATTTCTTCTTTTCTCTGGGTTGGGTACCAATATGCTCGTAAAGCTCACACTTCTTACCCCCAACAGCACTTATTACAATATATTAAATTTGGCTGTTTACTTTTCTGCCTACCTCACTGAGTTTTGTACACCACCATCTCTGTACACACACATAGCATAGAAGGTTATCAATAGATATCTATTGAGTTATTTTGTTCATTAGAATATCCTTCTAAATCAATTGCTGTTTTTCTTTTTTCTTAATTTCAGGAGAAAATAATATAAACAGAAATCATGTTTTCAAAGAAAACTTACAGGTACAGAAAAAATATAAGTACGTTTTTACATATAAATATAAAATATAAATATGTACATAACTTCTAGGTGACTTTCAAATGTAAATTTATTCATAGTGGATAAAATTAGTAGTACAATTAAGCTTTGTTTTCATCCCAGAAGTACCAAAGAACATCTGATTATAATCAGAAACCTGGGTTTGTATCTCGGCTCCAACACTGAGTAACTTTGTATTCTTGAGCAAGTCATTTAATGCATCTGAATCTCAGTTATTCTCATCTATAAAATAGGATAATAACAATCCCATCTCAGAGGGTCCTCAGATGTAAAATGCATACATAAATTGCTAAACTGATAAATATTACCTAAAATAGGAAATAGGAAAATGTATCACTTTCTCTTTCAAGCATTAATTTAAAACCTGTTATAAAATTTGTACTTTTAACAAGCCCAAGTGCTGTCATGTATACTCTAGCTTTCTTATTTGTCTGATAAATATTTATTGAGCATCTACTATGTGATATTCTGGGCACTGTGGATTCAACAGTGAACAAAAGACAAAGCCCCTACCTTTGTGGAGTTGACAATCTAGTGGGAAAGATATAAATATTAAGAAGAAAAATGAAGTCGGGCAAAGGAATCAAGAATGATGGGGAAGGAAGGGTGGTGTGCTCTTTTAGCGGGAAAGTCGGGCTAAACTTCTGACGCAGCGGAGAAGTTCTCCATGTGACCACCTGGGGGAAGAATGTTCCTGGCTGAGGAAGAAGAAAGTGTCAAAGCCAGGACAGGTAAATGTTTGCTGTGTCTGAGTCAAGCCCAGTGTGCCAGGAGGTGAGTGAAGTCACAGAGTTACAAGGCTAGATCATAT